TGAAATAGTGATATTAAAAGTTTCTGCAAATCCATTTTTACCATTCTTGCACTAGTGGAAAAACCTAGATAAACTAGCAAAAACAAATAATATCCAAGCATATTTTTACTGTAGACTTACAATCTTGGGGACTTTTCCTTATGTGAAAAAGTTATCAGACTCTCATCCAATAATAAGAACAAACGCACTTAATTTCTACCTCACCTGAGAAAGCCAGGATGCTTTCAAAAACCACGAAGGGTTCCAGGTAGTACAGAATGTGTATTTATTCTGATACAGCTACCTACAGAAGATATGCCAAGTTGAATTCATCAAGGTTCTTCTCCTTGAAGATGAAGTTAAATAAACCTTGCAGAAGGTTCCAGCTGTTTCAAAAAAAAAAAAAAAAAAAAAAAAAAAAAAAAAAAAAAAGACATGACAAAAACCACCAAAGGGGGTTGTGCCTGCCTTCTTCTTGAACCATTTAAGAAACCATTTACTATTACTCAAAGAAGGCAGTTTTCTTAAAGACAGACTACAAGATGTTACATTCTCCAGGGAACAGAATTTCCAGAGGCCATAAACCACTCAGCAAAACCCATGTTTTAATATTATCTATATTTTCTCAGGCTGAAGAAGGCTCAACATCTGGCAGTCTTTCTCATTCTGCTGCTTTTTCAGGTACTGATGAGAGAGAAGCTGTTTCTTACCATAACAGGTTACAGTTCTTTCTACAGCTTATTTTTGTTATCTAACTTGCATTTTGGAGCTCCTGTTCTGCTTCTCTGGGAAATATGTAGACAAAGGAAAAAAAACCCTTGCATATTTTTGAAATAGATACAAAAATGCAAATTGGAGCATTCCTGTCCTGAATCTGAATAATCACATTTTGGGGAAACTTTTGATATTGGATATCTGTCCTGGTATGCTGCCTTTTTTAATATATACATTATTTTTAAACTAAGCTGAACAGGGAAACAGATGGAGTTAAAACCTGCAGGCCTTACTTTGAAGGCTTTTATTAGTCAAACCAATGCTGCTATTTCAGACAAAATGGAGATGATAATAAAAATCTTGTCAGCAGTTACAGAAGACTATAGGAAAACTTAATTTCAGAGCACTGAATTCATATCTGCCTCCCCATATTCTCTCAGCAATACTCCATCTTTCTTCCTAAGTGTTGGTCTCTGCCTCTTTATACCACCTTCCAAGATGACTTTGTCTTTCACTGAGTGAGATTTGTATTCAACTGCAAGATAAGAAGCTGCTTCCAAGGAGTTTGTTTTAATTAAACAATGTAATAAAGGTATTAGCTACTTTATCTGATATACCGGTTGATAAATTCTAACATTTAATGAGTATCTCTTGAAATGATTTGCTAAAGGCCCAAGCATTTTAGAAATACTAACAAAATTCTTGTGGTCATTCAGAATATTAACATTGATTTTTTCCTAGTCTCCAAAGATTATCATGATTTTTTAATCCATGAAATGAGGAGACATCCTAAAAAAAAGTCTTTCCTTTTTGCTGTCCTCTGAGCTTGACAATTTGCTTTCTCTTAGGCAAAACAAGCAAAAAGTTGCCTGTGATGAACATCTGTCTAACTGCATTATTAGGTGTCTTGTGTTACAACTTAAAAGAATCTACATGTTTTCATACTGTGTGATTGTCCTTTTCTATCATTAAGATTTCCTGTTCTCCCTCTTGTGACAAACGTGTGTCAGTTCCTACTCCTCCCTTTCCCCCAACCAGGATGTGCCATAGGACATAGTAATTCCAGTTTCCCAGAATTTCTCTTACATGTTTAACTTTTGTATGATAGGTGGTCTTGAGCAGGTCACATAACTTCTTTGTGCCCTTCTTTTAAAGGGACATTACAATGCTTTTCTATTTCTGTATCTCATAGGAGTAGTTTCTTTAATGTCGTAGAGGGCCTGAGGTCTGATAATTTATTTTCCAAAGCAAAAGAAAATTAATTAGAGGACTTTGAAAAATGGAAATCAATGCTACCTATGGCCAGGTAAGATGGAAGTTGGTTAGTCTTACACTGAGGATAAAGGCCTTTGATTTTCCTCTAGATGATGATATTGATCCAGCTCTCCTCTGTGAAAATGTTAGTTATTTTCTTGATAGGTCATGGAACTCTTAAGAACTCTAAATATGTAAAATAAGCCTGATTAATAAGCAGATCACCTGAGAACATGGGGAGACTTTTCTGGAGGAGAAAGAGGCAGTCAGGTTAACTATATAATGTTAAAGAAAAGGGCCTGATTTTTGAGGCATGTAAGGTTTTCTTTCATTTTATCTGTAACTAAAAGGAATATGCTTCACAGATGAGGTATATTTGCAGGTCACTTCTTTTGTTTCCCTGTTACTTTTACTCTATTTCTAATAAAGACTACTGATGTATCGTGTAACTTCATATAATTGGCACATAAAAGGCAAGAATTCCCTCCTCCCCCATTAATGAAAGGTGCAGAAGGGAGTTTCAGGAGCGGAGAACCCTACTCGGTCTGGATGTGGGCAATGGTGTTCTCTCCCATAGAAGCACATCACAAAATGTTTCAACATGTGAATGCAAAAGGAAGAGTATAATAACAAAGAAGGGTGTGTGAGTTAACCATGCATACAAGTAACAAAGGCTTTCTTGTATGCTATAAAGAATCTATACTAGTGATGAGCCTAGGTTTTCTCTGGTGTAGGGCAGGGGTAGGCAACCCCCGGAACGGGTACCAGATTGCAGCACTCAAAGGCATTTTGCTTGGCACATGTACCTCTGGGTGGATGGCCGGAAAGGGGCCAGAGCTACATCGCAACAGCAAGGATTGGGCCCCTTGTGGCTCCCCCATCATCCACCCCGGCACACCATCTTACAAGTTGAAGTTGTGGGTGTTTTTGGCACTGCCCAAAAATGTTGCTAACCCCTGTTGTAGGGTTTCATTGGAGAATCTAGTTCGAGATTTTGGGGGGGGGGGGGGTTTT